ACACACACACACACACACACACACACACACACACACACACACGCACACACATGGCACATACACACACGCACACACGCACACACAAATAAACACACAGTCACACAATGGCACATGACCACACGCGCAGACAGAAATACAGACATACAACATACCCACTCCCACCCCTCCCTTTTCCCCCAGCCCCCTTCCCCCCTCTTCCCTACTTAATAGCATACATGAAACAAATACCCATTACACAGATATGTCATGGCTCTTTACATCTGTGACTGTGACTCCTGTGACCGACTTTCCTAAACAGCTTCTAAGTTGATTGTTAGTGGTTTTTTAGCCGCAAATTCATGCACTTAGACCTATAGACTCACTGCTCTGTATTTCCACCAGGATGCACGTGTGCATAACATGGGAAGGTGAGCTCACATTACTCGCTTGTGAGTTGATACCCACGTTGATACGTCACGTTTAAAAGTACAGAATAATATGTAGGCTTTTAAATATAATTTTACAGGATAGCCAAATAACCTGAATGTTATTACCGAGAAAACAGCATTTGCTTTAATTAAAGATACGGTACTCAGAAAGTTAATATCAAAATTGTATTCTTAAAAACATCGATTTGGGTATTTGTGAAGATGTTTTTTCTCTTGGTAACAACAATAAGTTGTTTTTTTTTTCTGCTCTCAGCTAGAAATTTGTTTAAAACTTGCAAATGCTGTATTTTTTTAAAAAATGACGGCAGCACAGTATTACTTTACAGTAGTAACATGTGTGAGTTGTGAAGAGGGTGGGGCTTGCCGTGTGTGCGGCCCAAGATATCCAAGATTAATCTTCGGTGTGCCCCTTTTAGACCAGTTTATGTAATACCCGATCCCTTTTTGACCAGTTTATGTCATAATTTATTCTATCCTTTTTAGACCAGTTTATGTCATAATTTATTCTATCCTTTTTAGACCAGTTTAACAGGTAAATTTATGTTGACAGGTAATACACTGCCGAAAAAAAAACAACCGATTATAATTTTCAGTGGCATCGAATACAATTTGGCCACATACATACACTGAAAGCATACCGACACACAAGTGCTCATAAAGGTGTATTATATGTACATACGGTCTCATACGTGCAAACGCACAGAGGCACTTAAAAGCATACCACTCACACACAGAAACAAGCACGCACACTTGCACAGAGATAGATATAGAGACAGAGATGAAAGGGGAGAGAGATAGAAATGGAATTATAGATGAAGGGATTCAAATTTAAGGGAAGACAGGTTGGGTGAGGGAGAGAGAGAGAGAGAGAGAGAGAGAGAGAGAGAGAGAGAGAGAGAGAGAGAGAGAGAGAGAGAGCGCGAGAGAGCGTCCGCACTCCAATAACAAAAAAGGCAGTCATAACTGCATCGTCCAATGACTAACACGAAGATCTACCTGGAGAACTCGTTAAATCCTTGGATCCGGTGGTTGTCACAGCCCAGAAATACGAAACTGACGCTGAGACAGAGAGCTGTGAATTGCGTGACGAACGTCAGTTTAAACATGGCGGCTCGGCTCAGTCTGAACTTTGTGATGAGGAATCCACCCAGCAGGGTGCCGATAACGGCTGTGAGGAGCTGACCAACTCCTGGGATGAAGAAAAGGGGAAAAAATGA